CACCAATGTTTTTGTAAGATATTTACATCTTTTAAGGACATTCGGTAGACTGATTCCCCACTGTTGGTTCAACCTCAAAACTTGTTTGTATTCAAAATTAATTATGACAATGCATATTTATATTGAATCAAACTATGATAAAGGGAATTATATTATATAACAAAGGGCAAGGTCACCAGAGTTCAACTATGTTTCAAATTTGGCACATACTTTATACATGTCCATGACATTTTGTTTCAAAATCAGATCAAAGATGGCTGATTGACAGCCAAATGAATTTTTGGCCTTACTATTATATTTCCAAGATTTATGTACCATTTTCATTCATAGTTGGCACATACATCATACATGTCACTTTGTTTCATAATCAGATCAAAGATGCCCTAATAAAAACTGTTTTTATTTTTGGCCATATTACTATATCTCTGTCACCCATGTATCATTTTCTTTGATATTTAGTATGTCATAAATGGATACATGTACATGTCATTTCAATTTGCAATTTGATCAAATATGGCTGACTGGCGGCCATCTTGTTTGTTTAAAATGCCATAACTTGGACATGCTTTCACTTGTGATCTATGTTTTTCTTTGCTATGTCTTAAACCGGAGGGGTCGTCACGCAACACGTGTTCGAATTTGATGTAAATAATTTGATGTAAATAAACAATCTGTTTCAAGGACACACTTGCGACAACCACTCCACTTTAATATAACGAGCACAAAGAGAATTTTCAAAAATTTAACGGGGTCTGGTCTGTTCAATGACTTGTTGGATATTAAAATTCCAGTGCACAGGAATTGGTCTAAAATGGGGTCCACAATGACTGAGTGTCAAATCGGCATGGGTGTAAAAAGGGGTTTATGTTTATGTATTGTATTCAGCTATCTATAGTTTTGATTAAATGCAACCAGAATGCATGCATACTTGTAAGGCTTAATACAAAGTATATGTATTAATTAATAATTAATTATTATTAAAATAATTTAGGTCTACTTTTAATATGCCGTATCCATACTTTGCTGTAAAATGGGGTCTGTTTGACAAATGTTAGGTCTGAAATTGGGGGTCTGTCGGACAATTGTTTGGTCTCATGCGATATACATTTATGGTCTAAAATGGGCTCTGGGCTACACATTTATACCATATCGGCAGCTAAGTACCCCCGGGCTCTAAACCAATAGTGCCAAAGAAGTTATTAAAACAATCGGCCATATTCACTACATTCAATTACCCACCATAGACTATTTTGAACTGTAGCGATTCATCAGCGATATTGCCAATGACTGAGAGATAGAATCTAGGTCAGGGGAAGCCACATGACCCCAAGATTCTTTTCCCTTACGTCACAAACCACATGACCGAGGCCATATGCCGATGCCATTACAGCTGGATAATCACTCTTTCTTTATCTCCGCACCGACGGGGATGAAATTTAGCGGCTCTGCCTGGAAGGCCTTCGTTTTCCTGTCCGGGTCTCTGGCTTGGGTTGTTACCGTGGCAGCGGTATCCGACAATGTGGCTGGTAGGATAAGTTTTCTTATTACTTTTACCCCTGTGTCGATTTCCCCTTTGTGTGTATAATTTTTTTCACAAAAAAAAAATAAAACCTGGCGAAGTAACTTAACCACTGGTTGGTTTCTTTGTGTCACCTTTTCCAACTGTATTTCGCCACCCTCATGCATGTCGTCTTCATTTTTCACCTATGTATTTAGAAATGGATAGATGTACTGACAGCACCTGAGGCTCGCCGCTGGTTTTGTCCCCTCAGGTTTTGAGGCGACTATGCAGAGATTGTAGTAAGGATTAGCTAGATTGGAACCCGCATTTTAAATGCTATTTATGTCTTGACTGTGTGCGGGGTTTGGGGTTTTTGCCCTGAAGGCGTGTGTAATCTCTGGAGTTCTGGG